TCAGATGCAATTCTCCATACCCAGTAAGAGTAAATTCCCCTGTCTCTTCCTTGTGTGCATCAAGTCCGGGTGTTGTCCGCAATAGGATCTGAAGACCACGCTGCAGCTGTGCACTCTTTTTGGGATCCTTCAGCTCCACCCCAACATGCACCATGGGGTCTCCACATTTGAGGGGATACACCCGCACATCGTCAAGCCAATCTCCTGATGCGGTGTCTCCCACGTCAGCCGCGTCATCTTCCATCAAAAAGGGATCAGCGATGGCACCACCAACGAGAACAAGATGACTCCCTGGTCGTGTACCAAAACCAGTAAGAAAAACCACCTGACCTGCGTGCGCGGCATCTACTTCAACAAGTCCATTTAACATCTTCAAAAGCAGCTCCTTCACAACAAAGGTGTAGAAGGGCTCAGCGTCGCTGGAGTGTTCATCCACAACAACCAATTTCATGCTTCGTTTTAGAACACCATGCAGTACACGAACAATTGCAAAATTATCCTCTCCATTATTTTGCGAACGCAGCAGCGGTGCAATGGCAAGCACCGAATTTTGCGTCTCACATGTGAGCCCATAACGCAGCCGAAGCCAGTTCAGGCGCACATCAGCCTTTGGCATTACATTGAGAAGCGCGTCAATGCCTTCTGTGGCGGCGTCGCCAAAAAAGAGTTGTACGGCCTCTCGTGCTGCAGCGACAGGATCCCGTGGGTGGGGATGGAGACGGCTGCTAAGGACTTCGTGCCCTTTGCCGGTCAGGGCATGGGCGACAATTTTGTACAGCGGCTCAAGAATCAGCGTGACAAACGCGGGTCTCTGTGTGAAGTTTGTGATCTTCACAAATTGCCCCTTCTCAAAGGCAACTTGTCCCCAAAGCTGCTGCGACAGTGCGACCGGATCAACGGAAGGGTACTCACGGCTGTACTTCAGTGCAAAGGTCTCCGTCGTAAAGCAAAACCCAAGTCTTGACGACGCGAAACAAACGGTGCCGTTCTGTGGAGAAACAAGAAACGGGGAACCAAAGCCAGCAATCTCGTTGTTGACAGCATCCACCACCGTCCGCAACTTGCGATAGGCGTCCAGAGGCGGCAGCTTGAGATCCATGATGAGACGATCGACCTTCGTGATGACAAGCATCACTGGGAGATTCTCCTGCAGCACCGTCTGTCGCAAAAGTCGGATAGCGTTGCGTGTTATGGACTCAACCGCGTCGACACAAAATATTGCGGCGTCTGCCAAGCGCAGGGCTGCTGCCGTCTCCGCCACAAAGTCGGGATGACCAGGTGTGTCACAGAAACTGACGAGGTGAGAGGCCTGCTGGTAGTGTGCCCCCGACACCACCTCCGTCACAACACTGCTTTTAAGAGAAATTTTGCGCTCCACCTCGTCCTCACGCTGACGGTACGCACGGCCCCCAAGAAGCATAGTGAGCAGAGAAGTCTTTCCATGGTGCAGGTGACCAACAAGTGCCACGTTGCGTTGCCGCGAAGGGATGCCGCGCAGGAGATCTAAAAATTCACGTTCCGAAGATGGTGCCGCGTGTGTATCTTGAATGAGCAGCGGTGCCGCACGCCGGTCCTCAACAAGGAACTTACCGCGCGCTCCATCCGCACGAAAATACGAAACAACGTCTTTTTCATCTACAAGCGGTTCAGCAATGGATTGATTTCCAGCCTCGCCAATGATGAGCTCAACGTCTTCACTGAAGGAACTGCTTGAATCATCTGTTCCACCTCCATTTGACCTCCCATGACGTTGCCGCAGGGAACTATCGTCATCGTCATCGTCGTCATCATCATCGCCACTGCCGCCTCCCGCCCGCTTCCAAGCATCGTCATCGCTTACAGAAGCAACCTCACGGTCGCTGTCATCGTAGTTGCTGCTGCTGTCATTATGATTCAGCCGGTTGCCCTGCTCATCGTACCCAAAATCCATGAGGTGAGACGCACCGTTGGCCTTGCCTCGTCCTCCAAACTTGCTTTTGTTTTTCCTCCCAACAAAAAAAAAAAATAATAATAATCAAAGAGCACAAAAGAGAGGGAAAAAAATAACAATAATTAAAAATGATTTTCTTGCACCACGCGTAGCAGAACTCAAATAATACAGCCAAAACAACAGCTGCAACAATATTGTACATTCACCCATTCTTCGACAGTAAGAGAGACACATGCACAAATAGCGAACGCTACTGCCTAACTCCACATCGGCAATTCACTCCTCGTAACGCACCGCCCCGTCAGGGTTGTGAAGTGACGGCGGCAACACCTTCACGTTAGGTGCCTCATGAAACGTAGCAAGAACACGATGCTCCAGTGACATTTGGTGCCCCTGACGTTCCAACCCGGAGCGAATTTGCCTCTCTCGCATGTCCCGAAGCTCCTCCGGTGAATCCGCCTCTAATCTCATAGCCATGGCGCCCACCATGGCACTAATTTCAGGATGCCGCGCCTCCAGCGGCTTTGCACTCCATATAACCGCCAAGAAGAAAAGAAACCCAAAGAAAAGATAGAACGAAAGAAAATATTGCGTCTCAGGCTTAAAGTTGTACTCCGTACGGCGAACCTCCCAGTCAAGGCACGAGACAAGACCGAGACGATTGATGTACAAAGTACGTGAAAGTCTGTCATCCTCCAGCACCTGCAGATCCTTGTGGGCCTGGTTAATAAGCTCACGCTGCGCTGAAGGACTTGTGACGCCTTGATTGCGCCGGAAACCAGAACGAATCTGCTGAAGAAGAAGCATACGGATCGTGACGTTTGGAATGCGGTTGGCAGACTTTAGATAGCGCCGGTACAGCAGTGTGACCGCCTCCGCAGGAAGCAATGCGGACATGCTTTCTTGACAGCTTTACTGCCAAAACCACGACCTTCCCCAGCCCCTTCCACCCACTTGTTTCCTCAATGTCCACCGATTCAAATCACTAAGGCCGGAAAAGTAAAAAGAAAAAAATAATTTGGGAGAACGTAGAAACAATAAGAAAAGGCAAAGAGATCCATTTTAGATCCAAAAGGCAGCGCAGCGTGGAAAACAAAAAATAAACACTCATGCAATGGGAAAATTCATTGCAAACAAAAATAATAAACAAACACGCAAAAAAGAAAAAAGGAAAAAGGGGGTTAAAAAACCCAATGGGTAAACCCTTGCTCAGTTTATCAGCTTCATAGACCAGCTCGTGTAGTGGTGCCCTTCTTTCCGGGCGTCAGCCATCGCCTTGGAGGCATGGAATGCTGTCTTCGATCATACTGCTTTTCTTGCGCCGAAAGCGTGGCCACAGCGTAATCAAAAGGATCTTCAGAGCATTGGCCGACATCCATCTTTGACAGGTGCTCCGGTGGCCCTCGCGAGTTGTGCGGCGAAGCCTTCGTTCTCGACACCGAAGTATGCCCTCGTTCAGGGGAGGAAAGAAAATTCCTCTCGCTAGATGGCCGCATACCCGAAGGAGTCCCTCTCGTTTTAACGGGTGTTATCATCGACCCCGACACCGGCTGCACACCATGGCTACTCAAGGGCGAAGACGTGTTTTCATTGACGCGATTCCGTGCTCGTCGGAGGGTACGTTGCAGCAGCGCATCCCGCTCGTCTTTCACTGGCGTCAGTGACGCAGAGTTGTCAGTATCTTTTAATTCTGGTTCCGCCACCTCACTTAGAGCACTCTCAACGTCGTTAAACAAAAGAAGGCAGGCCTCCAGAATGGCGACATCCGTTTCCTGCAAAGAAACGGATCCCAACAGGCACTGCTGGATTTTCCGCAAGGCCACACATTGCTTTGCCGCCACCACGTTCAGAATTTGTGTCAACTGCCTCTGACGCCCCAACACCTGGACGGAAAGACCAGCGGTATGATCAATGACGCGGCGAAGATCCCGCGCGAGATTCACAATGTCTTGGGTTTCCTCATTAACCACTACCACCCCCCGTGCCGCTCGCTTTAAATCCGCTACAGCAACACCACGCAGAAAGTGCACCCACTCTTCCAGGCTCACTGAAGTCCCCGCAATCTTCGCACTATCTGAATTCAGAGAGTTAGCTACCATCGACTTCGCCTCTGCAAGCTGCTGCATAAGTCTGTTTACTGACTCCGCCCTCTCGCTTGACAGTTCCACCGCAGCTGCCACTTCCTGCTCCAAAGCAAGGCAGCGAGAACGCAATAACGAAACTTCACCCATCAACGATCGTCTCTCCTCACGAAGCGCAACCTCAGACTCCGTCAAAGCATCTCTCGTACTCTCACATTTCAAACGCAACTGCCTATTCTCCTCCTCAAAAATCTTTACCTTATTCCTAAGCCCATCAGCCTCTTTCGTTGCCTCATCCAAAAACTGTGAAACGCTAGACAACTTATCATTCATACGACAACGATCTGCGGCATAAAGCGATTTCACCTTCTCTACCTCTCCACGATAAAAAATAACGGCATCCTCCAACTGTTTTTCTACAACAACAACACGTTCCTCCGCACGCTGCCGCTCGCGCTCCAGTGCCACGCGAAGATCGTCCACCTCGCTGGCATGCTGTGCCCGCTGCTGCTCCAGGGCGGCCTCCAGCGTGGCCAGCTGCTCACGGTGGCGCTGCTCCACTGTGCCAGCAGTGTCGTGCGCACAGCGCTCCGCGTCCTCCGCACGCTGCCGCTCGCGCTCCAGTGCCACGCGAAGATCGTCCGCCTCGCTGGCATGCTGTGCCCGCTGCTGCTCCAGGGCGGCCTCCAGCGTGGCCAGCTGCTCACGGTGGCGCTGCTCCACTGTGCCAGCAGTGTCGTGAGCACAGCGCTCCGCGTCCTCCGCACGCTGCCGCTCGCGCTCCAGTGCCACGCGAAGATCGTCCGCCTCGCTGGCATGCTGTGCCCGCTGCTGCTCCAGGGCGGCCTCCAGCGTGGCCAGCTGCTCACGGTGGCGCTGCTCCACTGTGCCAGCAGTGTCGTGAGCACAGCGCTCCGCGTCCTCCGCACGCTGCCGCTCGCGCTCCAGTGCCACGCGAAGATCGTCCACCTCGCTGGCATGCTGTGCCCGCTGCTGCTCCAGGGCGGCCTCCAGCGTGGCCAGCTGCTCACGGTGGCGCTGCTCCACTGTGCCAGCAGTGTCGTGCGCACAGCGCTCCGCGTCCTCCGCACGCTGCCGCTCGCGCTCCAGTGCCACGCGAAGATCGTCCACCTCGCTGGCATGCTGTGCCCGCTGCTGCTCCAGGGCGGCCTCCAGCGTGGCCAGCTGCTCACGGTGGCGCTGCTCCACTGTGCCAGCAGTGTCGTGAGCACAGCGCTCCGCGTCCTCCGCACGCTGCCGCTCGCGCTCCAGTGCCACGCAAAGATCGTCCACCTCGCTGGCATGCTGTGCCCGCTGCTGCTCCAGGGCGGCCTCCAGCGTGGCCAGCTGCTCACGGTGGCGCTGCTCCACTGTGCCAGCAGTGTCGTGCGCACAGCGCTCCGCGTCCTCCGCGCGCTGCCGCTCACGTTCAAGTTCTTTTTCTATTTCGTCTATAAAGTTTTTGAGATCGTCAATTTGTTGGATGTAATTGTTTTCCCTCTTGCACTGCGTTTCTAGTGTGATTTTCATTGCCAGTAGCTGGTCTTGGTGTTCGTTTTCGATATCAACCAATGTTTTTTTGCCCGCTTTAATTTCCGCAGCACTGGAATTATTAATGCACTCCCGTAGTGCCTGACGCATCAGTTTGACTTGAAGTTTTAGTGCCTCGATTTCTTCGTTGTCAATTGGTTTCGGATTCATGATAGCTGCCTTCGACGCTGCTCGTACCTTGGCTGCAATTTCTTGTTCCTTTTCCTTTAGTTCCCTGCGGTGTTGCTCTAACAATGTCTGAGTGGTGGCGTTTTCGTGACTTATTTTCTGTAGTTGCTCGTTGGACACCCTTACGGTTTCCGCCAACGCCTTCGACTTAAGTATTTCTTCCTGAAGAAGCTCTTTTAGTGCCTTATTCTCGCTATTTACACGTTCGATTTCCGCCGTATGCAGTGATAACCCCTGCGTTGGGTCCGCTACGGACTCCTTGAGAGACGCAACTTCTTGCTGGGCGTCGCGCAGAAGCGCCACAAAACTGTCACGCTCTTCCTGCGTGCTGGCCAATTTTTCCCGCAGCTGCGAAAGCTCGTTAACGTCTGAATCTTCGTCAAAAAGGTTCGGAAAAGAACTCTCATGACTTGGGGGTTTGTCGGCAGGCTCAAGTTCACACTGCGTGGTGCTCCCCGCCCCACTGTCACTGTGACGCAGCAGCGATATGACGGAACCCAGTACCTTGGCGATGCGCTTTGCCACCGCAGCGGCCTTGGGAACGCCGTTGGGAAGCGCGAGATACTCGGAGAGTGCGATAATGGCCATTTGAGTCTCCGAAACCGCATTTTGTACTCGCTTCGGGGAGTTAACAGTCAGGGCGTACTGAGCGTCCCGTATGGATGCGCCAATGCGCGCCAAGATGTCCCGCCTCCGACTTTCGTCATCCCCCATTTCTTCTTTGCACACAAGGCGTTAAACTAAATAAATACTTCCTCCTCAGCTCCTTGCAATCCTCAGTATCTTCCTACAATACTCGCAGCAGCCTTCCAGCTTGCTGATGAGAAAAAGCACAAAGAAAGATGAGCGCCAGTGCCGTTGGGAACGACGCAAAGTCAATCAAAAACACAAAAAAACAAGGAGGTAAAAAAAAAAAAGAATAGATATCGATGCATATATGTGTTATTCCTTAGAAATATGTAGGCATTTACTTTCCGCAGCCACCTTTCCGCACGGCTGCTGTGTACTTTGCGAACTTCATCCGTGCCACCTTTTCTTCCTCCGCCAAAAGCTGCACCACTTCATTTGTGATGTCTATTCCATATTCCCCACCCAATTGTGACTCATCTTGCGTTGCTGTCAAGCCACGTAGACTCAGCGATGTTTGCGCAATGGTGGCGGAACCCAAACTCTCTGCTGCTATAGCTGCCGGTAATAATGATGTTGTCATGCGTACAAGTGGTGATGCCCACTTCAAAAGGATGTCTTCCCATGCCATAGTTTCTTCACGCAATAAGGACATGTGCGCGGAAAAAGCATCATAAAAGCAGTTTTGCCGTTGCACCTCCCACTCTACCGCATCAATTCCCATGTTTCTCTTTAAAAGACCTTTAGAACTTCCCACTTGCCCATTAGTGTCCACCACCTGTAGCCTCCTCCAAGAAAAGGTAGAGCGTGGCGCGTCGTTAACCTCCATGGCAGTGTCGTCATCACTGCCGGACCAGAGAACCGTTTCAACATGTTGTTCAGTGGCGGCCGTGATGCGGCGCACCCACAGCGGAAGAGTCCCCTCCAGTGCCATTTCCTCGCCAGTATCATTTCCGACGTGAGGTGGTGCAACGCGTGTTTCGTCTGGCCTAAAGATGACACAGTGTGCGCCGCCCAGCAGCTCCAAAGAGTACCACAGCGTCTGTTGCGTTGAGGCAGATACCCACCGGCAAAACCCCGTCACCACATCAATGATGTCACTGAAAACAACCACTTCTCGTGGCACCGTGTCGTCGAATTTCGTCCCTTCACTGACACGATTTCTATGGGGAGTAAGTACAAGGGACAGGGTAATTCCTACGCGTGTGAATACAATACTCCCTGGGCAGATGCAGTCGGTGACATGCGTCTCGCAGGGTCCGTCCTCCTTTAGAGGCGAGGAAGAAACTGTCTGTGTGTCATCCAAAAACTCTACTGGGAGGTATAAATCATCGGCGCTCTCGTCACCTCTCATCTCGCGGCCTACAATACCGCACCGCATCGGTGGAAAGTTTGCCTCAGCAAACACAAGTGCCATCAACCATGCAGTCTCTGTGATCTCTCTTAATTGACCTCCGTCACCAGTAAGAGCAAAGCAAACAAAAAAAAGGAAAACGACAGCAATAAAAAAAGGAGAAGAAGGTGTAAAAGTTCTCAAATAAATAAATGGCACGAAAAGGAAAGCATGCACCGTGTTCACCAAGCTTAAAAAATTCATATGGGGGTAAGCGCACACATGTTGAATAGAAGAGAAAGTGAAGATGCCGTACATTACAACAAAAAATGACGGTGGGGCGACCTGCCCAAGGCCTCTCACTTCTCCCATTATACAAGCAGTTTAAACGAGCGGAGGGAGCACATCGGAACGTGCGTATTAAAACTTCGGTGGAACCGCCCCAACAAAATGGCCATCGGGCGTCCACTGAGTCTTCGTTTTCTGCGCCTCATAGTACTTCTTCGCCTCAAGCCGACGGCGATTCAGTGACTTGAGTTTGCCCTTGACGTATTCCTGCCTCTTCCCCTCCGCAGTATTTTTAGGCAGTGATACACTCGGCAAAGAAGTGAGGGCAAAACATCGGGCAAGCTCCGCCAAGTTGAGCCGCTGAATGTTAAATGTCTCCCTCAACAGATGGTTCATGTACGCACCAACGTGTGCCCTGTAGGCACTGACGGCGCTCTTTGCTACGATAGGATCCAGCTGCAGCACTTGTTCCAACTTCATCTGAATGGGTGGAATCTTCGCCGGCATCGGGTACTTCTCCAGCGTAATGTCAAACTTGGAAAGGTAGCGAACAAAACCCGCCTCCTCTGGTGCGAGGAAAAGTAGAGCGTTGCCGACACTGCCTGCGCGTGCCGTCCGGCCGATGCGGTGAATGTACTCGGTGGGATCGAGCGGAGGGTCATATTGTAAAATCCACTCCACGTTTGGAATGTCAAGGCCACGGGCGGCCACATCTGTGCAGAACAGCACGCCCGTCTTCCATTCATTGAAAACCTTGAAGGCAGCCACACGCTGACGGTGTTTCATGTGACCATGGAGCATCATCACCTCGTTGTGAAACCCAACAGAACCCATCATTTGGAAGTGGAACGTTGTACTGGCAATGGTAGAACAGAAGACCATCGCCTTTGAGGTACGAGCGATCCGCTTAACAAAAACATAGAGACAAATCAACCGCTTATCAACGGGCGTAATGTGGCAGAATTGACGCAACGTGCTAGGGATGGGCTCTGCATCTCCTCCCATGTGGTGTGGCTTCGAACTCGACTCCCTCGAAGTGGATACTTCTTCCCTCTCACAGTCACTGAACGGGTCCGCGTAGGAGTTGTACGGCGGAAAAGAAGCGGGATTCATCGCGGTGGCATCGCTTGTCCCATGCTCAGTTTTCATCTGCACTGGGATGGGAGCATTGTCAGTGGTCGCGATAAAAAGTGGAGTGCGGTAAAGCGACAGCCGTGCGAGTTCACGAACGGACTTTGAGTTGGTTGCAGAGAAGAGAAATGTTTGACGGGACTTCGGCAGGCGTTGCACAATCGCGTCAAGATCCCTTTGAAAACCGTCCGCCAACATTCGATCGGCCTCATCAAGAACGAGAAAACGAAGCCGCCCAAGATTCCACTGAGCGCAGTGTTGCACGTGATCGTGAACGCGGCCGGGAGTCCCCACAACAATCGAAGCACCCGCCACCAACAGTCGACGCTCCTCGGTTAATTTTGTCCCTCCCGTAATGAGCTGCACGGAGAATGCGGCAACGTCATTGGAGATGTGCTGGCAGATACTCTTCAACACATCGTGCGTCTGTACGCACAATTCCTTTGTGGGAGCGAGTAGCAGAGTATACGTTGCGTTGGGCCGCTTATGAACAAGGTTGAGAGTCGCGTGCAAAACAGGAACGCAGAAGGCAAGCGTCTTTCCAGACCCCGTCTTTGCCTGTCCGAGGAGATCATAACCCTCCAAGGCGTATGGAATGACTCGCTCTTGAATGGTCGTCATACGATAAAAGCCTTCCGCCTCCAGTCCCCGTACAATCTGTGGATCAATGCCAATAAGAGGATGTCCAAAGCGTGCGCCTCTGCCCACCCGCCGACGCCGTTCAAGCAATCCCTCCTCGCCCCCTTTCATCTCACCGCTGTTGGGCCGCCTAAAAAGAGCTTGCAGTGCATCCTCCGTTTCGTAGTGGTGCTGCATCAATTCCTCTGTTTGGGCTACAGCGGCCTCAACATCTTCTTCCCGCCGCCTTTTGCGCATGTGGCTGGTGCGGCGATTGGCGTGCTCCTCCGCAATGCGATCCAGGTACTCCATATCCTGCATGTTAAAAAATTCCGTCTTTTTCATGCGTAACCCGCCGTTATAATCCATAGGAGGCTGCAAGACACCATCAGCCATCATCGCAACGTCTTCACTTCCGCCGTCAGCATCTTCACCGTTACCATGGTAACCCACATTCCCCATCTCGTCATGCTGAGAGTCTTGTGCATCCGCCCTCAGCTCTCGTTCACGGAGCCGTTTCCTTCTACCTTTAATACCCATTACTAATTAAGCCTTCCTTTTCCTCCTGTAAAAAAAAGCACCTAAAGTGTAAACAAAAAAAGAGTAGGCCTTAAAAAGCCATACCAGTGACAGTAGAAACATAAACCACATACAACTCACACACAAAAACAGGAAAAAAAAAAGACGCCATCACACATATAATTCATACTTATATGTATATATTGTTATCCTTGCACAGCAGGACGCTCCTTCTCTCCGGTGGCACTTTCCACGAATATAGCAGCATACAGCACGCCAGTTTTCATTGCCATGCCTTTACGAAGTAAACCCGCCGACTGTGCGGTAGACCCCCTCAATGCCGCGGCCCTCCATACAAACCATCCCTCACGACATTTCACCGCACACATATCCTCCACTTTCTTCGGGAAATATGCACTGCCAGGTTCAATACGGACATCCACGCAATGTTGCTGCTGCTGTTGATGTTGTTGGGACCTGGCCTGTACTCTCACAGCAACCCTTCCCTCTTCCAGCTGTTGCAGCTCTTTTACAACGGCAGTGGGGATGTCTCTCGGATGCAAAGCATCTGTAAAAGTGCAACCGACAAGAAGATGTTGTTGGAGAGAGTGGTGGTGGAAAACTTCCGCTGCCGACGTCATCACCTCCGGCTTCTCCGTCCCCACAAACTTTTCTTTCGTCGCACCGAACTTTTCAAAAAGAATCCCCAAATCACTGTCCCGTTCATCTGTGCCTCTGATCGTTGCTACCCCATCATCACATTGCTGATGAATACGACTTTTCTTTTTCATCTCTCGTGCCGCTCGAGTCCGCAACCTCTCCAGCAACTGCTCCCGCACAGGTGTTGCGCCCTTGTCGAGTGTGGCGTTAACAGTTGGGGTGTGGTATTCACCACCCACAAAGGCCCGCCATGTCCCGTACGCCTCCTCTGCTGTCATGGCGTGCCAACGAATAATGACCCTGTCCTTCGTGAGGACCGGGGCGTGGTATGGGTCCCGCGTAAAGTGTACATCATAATTCTGTGGCCACGCGGAAGCCCAGCGGGCATCAAAGGTCCGGGGCCAGTCACAAGCCCGAGTTACCGAAGCCTCAGTGACCGCATCAGCCGCGCTCCCCACCCTGTGCAAGTCCGGAGCTGGCGCCGATGCAGAGGGCCCGCCAAAAAGACATTCACACAGTCCTGTAGCTCCCAGCTTTGTTACAAGAGGAAGGTACTCACGGATCGTCATGCCATTTGGAATCGGCACAGACTGCTGCCAGAGAATGTCTCCTGAATCCATCAGTGGCCGATCTAGCGATAGTTTGATGAGACTCGTCCCACCAACATCATCACCACGGAGCAGCGGGGCAAAAATAGGGCTCGCTCCCCTATAACGAGGAAGCAGCGATGGATGAAGATTAACAGTGCGCGGCAGTCGCTCCAATAACTTCTTTGGAAGAAAATAACGAAAAGACACCACGACAGCGACGTCAAATGCCTCCAATGGCTGGCCCAAGATGTATTCACCTTCCGCCTCTCCCTTCTTATCCTTCGCCGCACCAGTGCTCTGCTCACCTGCATTCCAAGGGCAAAGAATATGCCGCAACGTCCCACTCCGTGCCAGCGATGTTGGGTGGTCAACTGGTAACAGTGGTATGGCGTGCTCGACACAGTAGCGCGCTACAGGGTATTGTCGGTGGTGATGTTGAAAAATGTCACTGGGATCAGCAGGCAGAAAAGGACACACTACAACCAACTGCTGTTTTCCCTCGGCAGTCTTCGTCAGGCATGGTTTGCCGGCAGGACTTGATCTCACATTAGGGGTGGTACTGGCATCTGCTGCCCAAATGCATTCCAGCTGCTCACGCAGCATTTCGAGTGCGACAAGCGAAACAATGTCCCCACCAAAGAAAATGATCGATGGAGTTTTGGGCACGCCACTCTCAGCCGCATGGCACGTACTGTTGCTTCCACCCCTGCAGCCTGTCGCAGCAGTGACGGGAGTTGTGTAGCAGTGCCGGAGGGAAACAAAACTGCAGCAGTGCGGCGCAAAAACGCATCGCCGCACCAGTGGAAGACGGCCTAACGCCAAGCTTGGACAGTGTTTCAGCAAGCAGCGCTGCACGTGCAGAGACAAACTTTGATGGCATCGATTCTGCATTCTGTGATAAAAAAGAAAAAAAAAGGAAGGGAGAGCCCAAGATATTTAAAAAAAAAGCCCTACCCCTTCCAGGAAAACTCCAAGACTAAAAAAAAAAAAGGAAAAAAACGAGAAAGTGCCCCAGTCTCACACCTTAGAAGGAATACATACAGTACACATGGAGAAGAGGCGAGAAGTCAGTTGCCTGTGCGACTCATACCGCGCCGCCCCTTCTCCAATGGCGTCATCGCATTATCCCGCCAGAAGCCTAAGCGCCAGCTCCTCCCGAACACATAACGACAACACTGCCGCGGTCAAATGTCTGCATGACGTCGCGACAACACGTTGCTGCCATATTGAAGGCTATTTTGTTTTTTGGCTTCCGGCAAATGACTAAACGCAAAAAAAAAAAAAAAAAAAAAAAAGAGAGGTCTCTTACCATCCCCCTTTTAGCCCCCTCCCCAATACCACCAGTTGTTTTCTTTCTGTCCGTGTGTAATAACTGGCCCTCTCGCTTCCGAGACCCAACCCACATGAGCTTTTCATTCAACACCGTGTGTGACTATCGTCTGCCCATACCGTCCATAAAATTAAAAGAAAGATGTGAAAGCGCTTGCGTCACTAAACTTCACAATAAAAACAGAAGGACAAGTGAAGAAGAAAAAAAGTGGGAGTGTGAGGGTGGCACAGCTATCATCCAGGAGATGCTGATCAAATAAAAAATACGCCTCTAAAAGAGTCCATGCAAATGCAAGGGGAAAGAAAGAAAGAAAGGAGATACAGGTAATTATTTCCGGTGAGAATAATAATAATAATAATAATAATAATAATAATAATAATAATAATAATAATAATAATAATAATAATAATAATAATAATAATAATAATAATAATAATAGTAAAAATAATTATTTAATGCGTGCACGATGGCAGCTATGCTGTCATCGTGCAAATTAAAACTCGTACATAAAAAAAAATCAAGCATAAATGCACTTGGGCAATGGCATTTTTCACGCAGGAGCATCGTTCTGCGAAACTCCCCCCTCTTCCGCAGCCTCGGAGTCCTCCTCACTGTCATCACCAGAACCCGCATTTTTTTTCACCAACTCCCACCACTTCGAGGGCTTTTCCTTCACAAGGCGCAAAACAACTTGGCCACTCGGCTCCTTCACCTTATATTCGCTTTTATCCACATTGATGGATTTTGACAGGTGCAACAGAAGTTGTTTCTTACGCTGCAACGGAGTCGCCTTGGACGACACCACGTTTGCCACGTAAGAGAGGCTCAATGTTCGCTTCTTAAATTCCACTTGCAGCGTCCCGTCCGCCAACGACTCCTGTCCCTCAACTTTCGTGTCCACGTAGACGGTAACAGCGTTCTCCGCGTCACACCAGCTGTACTTCGTGACGAGAGAAGTTGTGGCGGCGATGGCGGGGGCTTCGCAAGCCTCCGACCTCTTCACCAGCTGCGGCGTGGGCATTGGCGCCACATCCCCCACCTTGGCACGCTCCTTCTCGTGACCATGCCAATAATAATACGAGTTCGCGGGATTCTTCTTTATGTCCGTACTCTTCTTCTGCGGCTGCGGCTGCTGATGAGCCTCTGATTCATCCGATGGCAGCGACTCGGCGGACATCCTGTGCACAAAGAAAAAAGATTGGGAAGCTGTTGCTTTCACTTTGCAGGGAGGGGGAGAACAGACACATGCCAAGAGAAGTCAAACAAGAAAAATAAATAAACAAATAAAAAGCAAAAGGAGTAAAAAAACCCCAACTTCGCAAACGCAAAGGCAAATGGAACGCTGGCCACCCTCCACCCAAAAATCAACAA